CCCCCCCCCCCCCCCCCCCCCCGTAATAGATGTTGGTAATGGTGTGACAAGGTTCAGTTGTGGGTGTGTCCATTCTGTGTAACGTTCTGCGTGTAGGGTTTGATTGTGCACAAATGTAGATTGTGAGGGTGGTGCTTGGCATTAGACTACGTTTTATTTCGGAGGTTGGGGTGCTTTCCAGACTATAAATGTGCGAACTGTTAATTTATGTTCTTTAGTAGTGTCCCAATGCCGCATTGTGATATGTGAGTGGATCCGGGGGTGTTAGGCGTGGATATGTGGAGAGGGGTTTATACCATTTCTTTTTTTGGAGTTGTTTCAGAGGTAATATATTGATAGCAGTGAAGATGCCTACGCGTTTTTTTGGTGTGTTTGTTTTTTTATTTTTTTTTTAAATGTGTGCATTGTAACATTTTATTGTCAGTGGGTGGCTAATGGAATTGTATACCATATGATTTAAAAAAGGATTAAAACAAATGCAACCTTTCAAGAAGCTTGTAAGCAGACAGTGATGTCTAAAACAATGCGTTTTTTTATTACATGTGGAAGGAAATTGGCTTTAGCAACGCACACATATAATAAAGAAACAATCAGTGTCATGTTGGGATTGGGTTTTTGCATGTCTTCATATTGTGTCCGACTTTCAAACAACGATTGCACTCTTGTTTTTTCCGACCTTTCCCGGAGTGAAATTCGCCCACAGACGGGAGCCTCCTCTTCTTTGGCCTTCCAGGAGGGCGCTTAGTGCATGATGGGGGCTTGCAAAGGAGTGATTTGACATTAGTCGGGATGTCCCACGAAGACTTGTCTCCTAATGGGTGCACAATGCCGCTGTAGGTGGCTACCAATGCTTCGCGTTTGTAGTAAGGTGAGATGAAATTATAACATGATAGTCCTGGACGAGTTCCTATTGCTGCCACAGCATGGACACATACAAAATGGTCCAATTAAAATTCCCCACATGTGCAAGACTTGTCTCTGAGGTTAACCACATAAATTCGGTTCCACCGGTCAACAACTTCAAACTCGTATGGGCATGATGGCTTAACCTACAAGGAATTAGAGTGTTAATAATGCAAGGTAGGAACGTATACAGGGGGGGTGTGATTGCATTGTGCTTGTATTAGTGTTTTAATACGCAGTGTATGGATTGATAAGCAGTGTGTACCTTCATCTTCAATGCATCACGTTGTAACGTAATTAACTCCGACTCAAGCTTCTTTGGTAGAATAGTTGATGTAGATGAGGCTGTTTCAAAGCGTTCGTGAAACCATTTCTGCATCCTTTCGCGAATGAAATCAACTAGCTTGCAAATGGGGTATTCACGTGCCGAGTTGTTAACGTTGTTCATTGATTCTGCTGCATTGGACGTCATTACAGAGTAGCGGAATGGACCACTTTTGCAGCGTGCCCATCTTGATTCACCAATTTGGGAGAGGTATGAGCGTATTCTTTGGTCTTGCTCATCCAGCATTTCGAGGTATTCCTCGCACTCCACCTCGGTTGGTGCACGTGATGCTTTTCTAAACTTCCAAGATAAGTCTTCTTTAGGACCTTTGAATTTACCGCGCAAGTTTCGGGCGATGTGTTCAGTACAAAACCCATGACCTGCGTTTGGGAAAATGTTTTGAACAGCATGGAGGATCCCCTCGTGACGGTCAGAGACAATATAAAGGTCATGCCTTGGGGTCAGTGTGGTTTTCAATTGACTAAGAAACCACATCCATGAGTCCTTATCTTCTGACTCACATATTCCAAAAGCAATGGGTACAAGCTGTTTATTGGCATCCTGGCAGCAGGCAGTTAATAGTGTTCCTTTGTAATACGATTTCATGAATGTCCCGTCAATGACGAGAACTGGGGCACAATGATTCCATGCTTGTCTCCACGGTGCTAAAGAAAAGAACAAATATTTGAATCTCTGATCCTCAGACCTATACAAATGGATAGAAGATCCAGGGTTCTTCGTCTCCAGCATAAAACAAAGAGATGGTAGAAGCTGGTATGATTCTTCATCAGAGCCATACAACTTCTTCAATGCCTTCTGTTTCACGAGTAATGCTTTCCTATATGACATTGCAATGCCAAACTCCCATCGCATATCGTCCCGTATGTCGTTAGGGGGGTACTGTTTCCTGGTAGCATCTACATAACGATGTAGGACCAGGTCGGCTAAGAATGCTGATGTTGCCTGTCTGTGATCACCTTCCCGGAAGTCAACAAGGCATGAATGATATGAATCAAACCTGAAAAAAAAAACATTGTCACATGATCCGTGGCAATGGGATAAATGAAAAATGAGTAGTTCTGCATATTAATGGATGAGGTGGTTTTTAAGATTACAAAAATTGAAGTGGAACTGTGTGTGGCTACACTGGTTGGAAAAGGGTGTGTGAAATGCCAAAGTGTTTGTTGTGTTTATAAGCACACAGGGAGACGTGGGCAGTGTATTTCATGGTAGGGCAGTGGTCTGTGAAAAAGACATAGAGTTTTAGGGAGGGGGGTCCAGCACTGCATTCTATGTTTTGGTAATGTGTAAGTTAAGAGCTTGCAAAAACGACTCTGAAGGTGTGATATGGTAAAGGGAATGGAAGTGTATGAGCACTGCGGAAGTTTGGTATGTAATGAATATGTGTGTGAACATGCAGGTGTGCAGTGTTAGTAATGTAGAAAGTGTATTGTGTGGCTCTGGACAACTGTGGAATGGGGGGGTTTGGTAAGTGGGAAAAACTGCCATTCTTAATATAGATATTCCCATGGATGTTAGGACATTGCGGAAATGGAATGTAAACAAGTTACGACAGTAATACAAGTGGAAGTGAGTGCAAAGTGGGGCTCTGTTCAATGATGTGTAAAGTAAAGTTTAAGTCACTAAAACTAGAAATAACCTGCGTATCTGGAATAATGGAGTATTGTCAAGCCTGACAGCACGCACAGCCCATGAACACCGGTCATAGATACATACAACGTGCAACACTGTCCTATTCGACCTCTTTGTCTTATACTGAAAGCTGTTAGAGACGGCATACATTTGAAGATGGTGGCATAAGTCTTCCTTGGACTTATAAATGCTGTCAAGTTGAAGAGTGGTCGGGTGATAGTGTGAAAGGACGTCCACTGATTTTGCATTATGTCTGGTACGTCTGGTACGCTTGGTTTGCTTCATATTCTTCGAGGAATCAGATTTTACATTAGAGGTTGAGGTTTGCAGGTTATTCGGATTGCTTTGCCCCGTTAGGTTGGCCGTGCACACCATATTATGTGGAGTGTAACCCGTGTTACTAACAGGTACAGGTGGGTATGATGAAATGTCTTGAGCAGAAAGATCACCTGCAGTAACAGTAGGTAGAACCTCCATGCATAATGGCAGGTATGAGATGTCGTTTTGGTAAGACTTCAACCTGAGGTAGAAGAGTAGTTCAGCATCATCAGATATGATGATAGGCGGTGGACACAAGGCAACCATGTAAGAGAAACGGACTTCATTTTGAGACCAGTCCATTGCAATGTGTGCTTTAACAGTGTCCATGAGTGATTTTAGAGAGGTCTCGATATGGACATCAATAATAGTGTCATACTTTGAACTAAAATTGCCAAGAGTATCCCACATTCCATCGACCCGCACCAATATGTTAATATGTGAATCCATGATTGTTGAGCCTTGAACAGAGAAAAATGACATGGTTAGAGACATTGGGGAAAACGATTCAGTTCTTTTCCCAATTAAAGATAGCATCACGTTGAGTGAAATACTAGATCTTGTAATACTTAACATATAGCTACGACCTTCCATACGAAGAATGCAGGCAACAAAAAATAGCATTTTGCATTGAAAACTGTTGATTTTTGAGATGAGCTAAATGAGCATGAACAACTCTGGGTCAGTAGACGTGTAATGCACGGTTTTTTTCTGCAGCACTGCTTAACTAAAGTTGCTGAAAAGTTCAGTGAAGCAAGTTAAAGATGGTATCAGAACGAGAAATTTTGACAAAATACCTAAGAATTGGGGGATAAGAGGAACCTAATATCTAATCAAGGGTTTGAACAAAAGCAATAGACAGTCAACTTCCAAACAAAACACATAAAAACATAATTTCGGATGAATTGAGAAGAAATTGAAGTAAAAAATTATAGATGAGATGAATTGAGGAAGGTGTCTGATGATGTGTGATGGATAATAGAAAATGCATTACAAACCTGAATGTCGCAGATAGGGGATTGGGCGATGTGAGCTTCCTGCAAAATTCTGCGAAAACTAATTAGAATGCTGCGTCCCTGTTTGGAATTGGGTACGAGAATCCGAGACCTGCGATTTTTCAAGAGATGCAGCCGGCGAAGGTGCTGCAGCCGATTGTATGATTTTGGATGTGGAATATTCATGGTTTAGCCCAGTATAAGACGATGAGGTTGTAACGGATCAGGTATAACTCCTTCCTCAATTTACGCAGGTGGAGAAGAAAGTGGATGAAAGTGATGCATAGCCCTCGCTCCTCAATCGGTGGAAGTTACTGCTAAATTAGATTGGGAAGGCTAAAATTGGAATAATACAAAAGGGAATGGCGTTAGAAGTGCTAAAAAAAGTATAAAAAGAGATGGGAGTGCTATGTATGTATTTTAAACTAGTAATTGGTGCTATATTGGATGATTTCATTTTCAGCTTTGTTTTAATTGAGTTCCTTATTTATTTCATTAATTTTATGTGGTTTTAATGGTTATTCTCATTTTTTTAATTTTTTCGAGGTAAGACTAACACTTGGAAAAAAATAAATAATTAATGTAGAAGGTCATTTTAAAAATTTAAAGAAACATTTCAAAAAAAGTTAAAATATGAAAGTTCATAAAAAATAATCTCATAAAATCCAATTTTTCACGAGCGTACGAAGCACATTGAGATCGATTGTCATTTTGTTCGGGATGAGCTTCTTCATGGAGTGATTAATTTGTATGCATCATGTGTCTACTACGCATCAGCTTGCAGACATTCACACTAAGGCATTGAGAAAAGCTCTTCTAGAGTTTCTTATTTCCAAAGTGGACATTTCACTTTTGCACGCTCCAACTTGAGGAGGGGGGGGGGGGTGTTAATGAATGAAGGAATATATTTCCATATATTTCCGTATTTATTATTTTGGTAGTTACCCGTATATATTGATTTAATTTGTTTTGCTTTTGTATCTAGTTTTCATATAAAGGTCCTAACTTGTGAGATCCTATATATATACGGCCTTTGTTTATATTCCAATGCTCAAAAAATACAAGAGAATTTCTCCCAATTATAATTTTATCATGATATTGGAGCCTAAAACCTAATATTTTCCACTGCTGCTTAGGGTCAACCAGCATTGCATCCCTTGACCACCACTGTTGTTTTAGAAATTCATTCATAGCGACCCATTTGTCTTTAGCCTAGTTGTCCATAAGGAAAACAACATGTGGCTCATATAACTCGATTTCTTGGGAAGGGGGGTCCATTTGCAAGAGGTCAATCGGTTAGATTCAAAATGACCTAGTTTTCCTCTTGAGGGGGGGTGTTAAAGAGTATCCCACATCGTAACTTGAAGGGAAAATAAATTGGTATATAAACTCTTGAGTTGAACTAAATAATCAATTGGTTTCAATGTTTTAATGTAGTTCAACCCAAGTGTCTTATAGCCCACCCTACCTCATCTTAAATTCTATCTGAAATGCTGACATGACATGCATGCTGATCGCTGGACCGACCACATAAATGCCTATGAGCAGAGACATGAGTCTAAGGTTTTGGCTTTGACACCATGTAGAATTTTTAGTGAAAACTAATCTTCCTTTCCATTAAACATCAATCGGTATATATTGAAGAATGATTAATTTCTATGTTTCATGATGGAGGGCTAAGCCTCGTATATATAGTACAAAGGAATCCTATACAAGGCAACTACCATATTAACAATGATTACAACATTAATATTAAATATATACATACTATATTTAACATGCGCCCAACTACGTGACTGGTGACGGTCGAACGTCGAGACTGTGTCTGAATTTGGAAAATACGAGAGACGGGAGCCCTTTGGTGAAGATATCAGCATACTGAGAAGAGGAGGGAACATGCAGAACTCGAACGTGACCAAGGGCAACTTTATCTCTGACAAAGTGAATGTCGACCTCAACATGTTTGGTGCGCTGATGCTGGACGGGATTAGACGAAAGGTATACAGCACTGACATTGTCACAGAACACCAGTGTAGCACGTCGGAGAGGTTGATGAAGCTCAAGGAGAAGATTTCTGACCTAGCTAGTCTCCGCTACTGCATTTGCTACGGCGCGGTATTCTGCCTCAGCACTAGAGCGAGAAGTGGTGGCATGTCTCTTGGAGGACCAAGAGATGAGATTGTCCCCAAGGAAGACACAATACCCAGATGTGGAGCGGCGAGTGTCAGGGCAGCCTGCCCAATCAGCATCCAAATATGCCTGTAAGGAATCTGTGCTGGTGCGGTGGAGAGTGATGCCATGGGTAGCCGTGCCGTGGATGTAGCGCAGGACCCTCTTCATAGCTGTGAGATGAGAGCTTTGGGGGGCATGGAGATGAAGACAGAGCTGCTATATGGCATAGGTGAGATCAGGCCGGGTGAACGTCAGATACTGCAAGGCTCCAACAATGGATCGGTAGATGGTGGGATCCGGAAGGGGTGTGCCGGACGTGGCTGACAGCTTCGCCTTAGTATCAACCGGTGTGGAAATGGGCTTGCAGTGAAGCATGTCAGCCCGCTCAAGAATCTCGTGTGCAAACTGTGTCTGGTGAAGGAAAAGGCCCCCAGCAGTGCGTTGGACATTAATGCCCAGGAAGAAATTGAGATCCCCCATATCTGTCATGGCAAACTCCCCCTTAAGCTGCTGAGTCAGGCATGTGAGAAGAGCGGTGGAGGAGGCCGTGAGAACAAT